TTCAAGTCTGTAAAATGGATTTGAGGTGTGCTCCTTGTTAGGGCTGTTTACGTATTAGATTTGTCAGTGGTATAAGAAATTTGCAAGATTGTGCTGAGTTTTCCCATCCACCTTTGCAACATGGAATTTCCAAGGCTGCATGTTTCGGAGCGTCAGTCCCATGTGTCTCTACCCTAATTGTGCACTTAAAATGGTTAACCGTGACTGCAAGAAAGGAATGCATCATATGTAGGCAAACTCACCAGAAAGCAAGCTGCAGACTGCACTGTGGCGGACCTGGTGGTGTGACACTCACCTGACCTCTGGTCAGTCACATCTCTGCTGTTTACTGGGAGGTAGAGCAGGAGGGGAGACAGTGAGGTCAGTGCAGTGCAAAGTTAATCTGGCACTCCTGCCAGTGCATTTGCACCGCACTGACCTCATCACTGCTTCCATCTGTACCTCCTGATAAGAAGCAGTGGTACAGCCCACTGGAGGTCAGGGGAGTGCTGCCTCCTCACCATGTTGTCTACTGCTGCGTTTCACCTCCATGTCAAATGTGCACTTGTGACAGACCTGGGTTTGCCATACAAAATGGCCTCATATAGCACAAAACAAACAGTGACTGGATAGAGGCAGTCTTCTGTGTTAGGTTAACTTTCCCCATTTTGGGGCCCTCCACAAATTTTTGACTACAACTCTCATCAACCCCAGCCAGATGGCCAATTGACAAGAATGATGGGAGTTGTAGTTTAAAACATCAGAAGGGCACCAGATTGGGGAAGGCTGTGTTAAGAGGATGCTATGGGTACAGCTTTATATATATATGGAGTCATTGTGTAGCTTCTGGACTTCACAGCACTCCATTAGCATTTTTCAGCTCAAACAGAATTGTATGAGTAAAGGATTCCTGATGAATGCATTCTCAGAATCTGCTCCCGAAGCATTATAGTTTATGCTCGCCATCTACTCATAGGCATCAACCAGAGACATTTTGTTCCCATAAATGTTTACTGAACAGATCAGTCTGAGAGGCCTGACTGAAAGTGCAATTTCTATAACAACCATTATCCAATCCTAGTGATGCACATAATATATATGTTTGTGTGTTTTGTAATCCCGACAGATACATATATAAAATGTGCTGCAGCCTGAATATAACCTCAATAGCTGTACAAGACACAAAGGCAGCAGAAAAGGCTGAAAGTTTTATCAAGTACAATTAGGAGGAAAAAGGAGGAAGCAAGAAGCCATTGCATCAATGCTCCTCCATATTAACTTGGGGCATCCTTCCTTTACTGCCAACGCAAAGAATAATGAATGAGACCAGGATTAATTACATTTTAAACAACTGTGCTAGTGTGACAAAGGTGAGGCAAATGGGCAGCAATGTTGAACACCGCTGGCAATTTGAGATAACCTTCTTTTAACCCTAATTCTACCCATTAGGAGATGTTGCATGAGTTGGGAGACCATAAATCACTTATGAATAGTAATACGGCTCATTTATCTTTGTAAGACTTGCCATGTGGGAACCTCATTAAACCAAAGGACTAATTTGCCACCATGAGGGCCAGTATGCCTTTGGCTTTTTAAAAGGGGAGGCGAAAGGTAGGGGTCTTGTAAACTTTTGTTTTCTTAAGTAGCTTTGTTTCTTCCTTCCTTGAGGGATGGGAAAATCCATGCCAGTATTATATGGCCAGTTTCCTTTGGAGTCGAGAGCTGCGGTGATTTCAGGGTCCCTCCTGACATGTCTGCATGCAGGAGGGTGGCTGATGTGAAAGGAGGGCAGCCAGCAGAAGACAAAAAGTCGTTTGTGGGAGCCATCCGACCTTCTCAGGAATCGTGGCTGCCACCAGCACCAAAGCTAAGAAAGAACATAGGTTGCTTACCACAGGGTTTGGTTCATCTACTCTGGACTAACGTCAACTCTGATTAGCTACCTTTCCCCATTTATTTATTTATTACATGTATACCCAAATTTTCACCACCTAGGTCTCAAAAGTGGCTTAGAATGGCCAAAAAAATTTCAATATGCAAAATTTAAAAGGTGAATCAGGAAGCCTAATTACATGGACCCTGAATTTGTAACAATGCTTAACCATCTATGGGAGCAGAAGCCCCCTCCCCAGATTAGTGGGGCTTTAAAGCCCCACCTTCATCCCTGCTGTGATGGCCCACGGGAGGTCAGAAGAAGGTTGGCAGGGCCGGGGGAGGGACACCTCCACCCAATCCAACTTCCCCTGCCAGATCAGCACAAAAGGAGTTTGGATTGCTCTGTACAATACCTGCACCAATCCAGGCAAGCTTGCCATGTTTGCATCCATTTATTAATGCATTTGGGGCGCAGAAAAGATGTATGATGGCATGGCTTAGCCGTTCACTAAAATGTCTGCCCGGCAAATTTGGCATAAGGAAAATTAATGGAGCAAAGTTTTGAAGTGGAGAAAACTGCTCTCCAAACATGGCTGGCGTCTACAACTGGCTACAGTTTTGTCCATGGAGGATCACAGATATGTGGAGTTATTGTAGAACAATTGCTGGCATTCACTCCTGTTTGTCCCTATGAAAAAGCTTGGCACCTTCCCTATTTAGTCTTATGAAGGAGAAGGTTTGAGGTGGATTGTCAAAATGGTTTCCAATTAGAAAAATAAATTTGATTTCATCACATTGAAGGGAAAATAAAATGGCGCTTTGTAATTGGATTTTTCTCAACCTGTCAAACTGGGCTCTCACTGCTCTGTCTGTCCCCAAGAAGAAATCGTTCTAGCAATTGTAATTTTTATTAGTGCCTCTGATCAAAGCAAACTTATGGATTTAAATCGGGGACAATGTCTTTGATGGGAAATGTAAATCTGAGGACATCATTATTATCTACTGGGGAACTCTCACGCAGTGGGAGTAAAAACATAAGTTCCATCTAGCTGAGGCAGACAGGTAATTTTAATGACTGAGTTGCTAGGCAACACCCTTTTTGAAACTATGTTTTCATTTATGCAGAAGGAAAACTGGATGTCCGCTTCCTCCACAAAATCGGGAACTGCAACCAGATTAATCTACATAAAAACACCTGAGAAGGAATCAGGGCTCCCACTTCCAGGGAAAGCGAAAGTCTTCAAGGTTGCAATCCTGTGCACTTAGTTGTGAGTCATTATGAGGCTGGGGGAGAAAATTGATTTGCTTTGCATTGGGCAAACCATGGCATACCAAGGCAAGCCTTTCTGAAACAATATGCAAACTGAAGCACACGCCACCGTTCAAAATTCACACTTCTCCAACTTCTGCAACGCAGAATTCTCCAGCCAAGAAATCTGTACAAAAATACATATATTAGGATACTGTGCGCACAAAAATGGATATATTGGTGAAAGTAACATACAAAAATGTATTACATTAGGGGAAATTGCTTGCAAAAATGTGTACCGCAGGCAAAACTGCATGCAAAAATATGTAAATTAAGGAGAAATACTAGTGATTTTAAAAATGAAATATTAAGACTTTTCATAATACAATAAAAATGTACTAATCTAAACAAAAATAAAAAAGAGATAGGAGAACGCAAAGTCCTTTCTCGCAGATATGTTTACCTTAATCTTTTTCACAGTCAGAAAAAGGTGAGCCCTCCTAGCTCTCACCTGGAAGCTCACCTGGAAGCTTTCCCCATCCTCTCACCCATGGAGATCTCCTCTTCCCTGTCCCTCACACAGGGTCCTTCACCAACTGTCCGTCACTTTCATCTGCATGCAGTTCTTGCTTCCTGAGGAGAAATTAACTTTCTGGATCCTCATGACCTCACTGGTAAGAAGGTTCAGCCCAGAGAAATGAACAGCAAGACTCTACATAAGGTCAAGGGAGAAGGGTCACTTCTACCATACTCAGGTATGTTCTGCTTTTGGACCTCAGATGGGCGCCAACAGTGAGAGCCTTGTATCAGGGCACAATACCTCTTATAGCAATACCTCTTATAGTAGAGATATTATACAGTAACCACTGATAGCCTTACCTATGAATTTGTCTTATCTGCTTTTATAAGAACACAGTTTCATAGCACTGATGTCTTACCACACAATTTTATGGCACTGAAGGCTGTTTCATATACTACATTTTCTGGTGTGAATATGAATTCTCAAGTCATAAAAAGGAATGTGTGATCACTCCCTGGGATACGGACGTCTCTAACAGTGCAGATATGGGAGAGACATTTTGCAAGAATTACAACTAACTTTGCTAATGTTCCCTTAGAGAGATTTATGAGACTACAGCCTTTTTCTAGCGGTATCTAACAGCGGGTTTTTTTTGGTGTGTGTATGGCAAGCTGCCAATTACATTTCTTCCTCAATTTAATATGCTCGGATTTCCGTGATATGTTTATGATAGTCACTTAGCTTCTTGACCATGAACATCATTTTCAGTTAGCTAATGCAAAGATGAGATGCACTTTTAAAGGATCCTTATTTTTTTCTTAAAATAAAACAAAACTTGAATTTCTCTACAGCCATTAGAAAAGTTGATTGAAGAAGGGACAGTTGTCAGTGACAAAATAGTATTAACAATATATGTTAAATTTAAGAAATTATCTGGCAGGAGAAATCACTAGTAGGAAAGCACACAGACAGAATTACACTGACATGCTTGACATTTCCCTATGTAGTGTGCATTCTCATCATTCACTATATTCAGTAGTGTTTTATGTAATGTACATGGTTTTTAGTCTTAAAACCACATAATAATACATCCAATTGTTTGAGACTGTTCTTGTGGCTGTGGTTCTGTAGGTAATGTACCCCATTATTTCTTTTATTGCCCCATATTGTCTTTGATCTGAACTGAATTTTAAGACTCACTTATTGTGGGAAAAGCCAACTGGTCTGAGCTGCAAATAATTGGTTTTTTGTTGGCTTCTTGTAACAGAATAACTCTTTTAGCTGGCAGAGCTCAAACCTATTTTTTTTACTTATCCATAATGTGACAAATATTGTTTTTTTTATGTTACTGTGAAAATTATTTTTGTTGCTTTTGTTAATTGCTTTCTTATCTCCTGTTGTAACCTATGGTTAAAACATTCAATACTAACTGACTGAAAACTACATAAAGCCTCAGTTCTTCTAACATGTTGAGCATTTTCAGATGATGTCACATTGCGTAACATAATTCGCCATCTTATAGCTTCACATTGAGTTGTTTTGAAAATTTCATTTTTGACTGTTTGTTGAATTGGTAGGAGCCAAATGAAACCCTCTCGAAAGAATAGACAGGGAAAGTAATTTCCAGGAAAGCTTGCCACCTACTTTATCCAGTCTTATAAGGTTGCCAAAGGCTTTATTTCTATCATCACCACTAGCATAACCATAGGAAGGTCCCAGACCTCTCACAGTGCTAGAAGGCTTGCCCGCATGTCATACTGCACAAATCCTAAAGCTGTTGGGAATATGTTTTCCACTGGCTGACTTCTGGGCAAGTCCTAGTAAAGTAAGTGGTAATCCCCCCCTGAAAATGTCAGAGAAATTTCCCCTGCTCCCAAGAAAGCAGCAGGAAATCGCCCCAGTTTCACAGGGGGGTAATATTTTTAGGAAACAGAGGGGGTGTGGTGTGTCTTTGGCTCAATCTTAGCTGTACAACTACTGAATCATTCTTGCAAATGTGTACTGGGCCTTGGCACAACAGGGGGACATATTAAAATGTCAAGAAATGATTTAGCACAAAAGTGGTGAAAGGACCATGAGAATGCTGATATTGCAAAGATATGTAGATAATGCTCCCTGATGAAAAAGTGCCTATGCTGAAAAGTTTTAGGCCCAGGGTGAACGTATAGAGGTCTTGATCTTCAGAATGGTTGCCATGTCAGCATAATGAAGGCTCCATTTCTGTTTATTTGATGTGCAGTGTTTAAACCAAATCCCACTTCCTGCAGATTTTGTTAGCCACCCTTGAGGCCTCTGCCTTGATTGGTCTTTGTCCATAGATAGTCAGGATTTTGTACACCAAGAAGTGTAACAGGGCAGACCAATCCACTGTGCTGAAGTGGGTTTGGGTCAGGTGCAGGTGTTGAGCTCTGCTGGGCTCTGTCATGCTCTGCCACTGGGGGACTTTGGGAATACCAGAGGTCCCTGTTGCACCTGACAAAAGTCAGCTGAACACCCACACACAATGGAGCATTTCTGGGGCATGGAGGCAGCAGAGAAAGAGTCAAACTAGATTGGTCAAAGATCTGCTGGATCCTAAGCAGGTCCAGCTACCAGCAATGGGCTTCAACTGGATGCCTTTGCTGTGCTAGGGGCTAGCACAAAAGGCAAGGGAGGGGGAGAATGGGGCCAAACTGTTTGCCCTCCACCTTGGCCAGCACGAGCATCAGAGTTTGGGATGTGGCGGCGGCTCTCCCATTCCTAGATGAAAGTTAGGCTTGCTCTCTAAGTGTAGTTCATAGCATCTGGATTGGTGTGCGCTGCTGCATATGGCACTTTCCACAGAGGATATTTCTTTTCCAGGCCACTCTGCTAGGTTGTTTTAAAATGTATATGCATCTCAGAGCACAATGGTTATGTTTGCCACATTCAGGGGTAGCTCTGCCCCTCCATTATGGCTGGCTGGGGTATGTTTATGGTGTTTTCATTGTCAATGAGATGGGGCAGGTTCCCCCAGGAGAGATGAACTGTAGGACCCCTTCGTGCCTTTCCACTATGCATTTGAGGCCCTGGGTCCTGAAGACAGGACTAGGGTTTTTGAAAACTGGGAAGATGTTAATCAAATGAAGTGTGTAAGGGGAGGGAAAGAGGGAGGGGCGAATGCATGAAGACAAGGCTCATTCATTTAATCAAACCATGGCTTGCAGCGACATTTGCAGTATTTCTCCCCACCCCTAAAATCTAGATTCTTAAATGAAGACTACTCTGAAGACCCGCTTCCACATTTATAGCCTGATCTTAAGCATGTTTATCAGAAAATAATTCCCCATGGATTCAGTGGGATTTACCATTTAGTAAGTATGCTTAGATTGCAGCCTTGCTCCATATGCAGACAAGCCCTAGAATTAGTCTCCTCTAGGCTCAAATGTCCCCCAGATTCCAGCCTACTCAGCATTTTGAAACAGACAGAGAAGTGATTACTCACAGTATTGACCAAAAACATGTTTATGAAAATCGGATCAATACATGATTTAGAGACATGCAATTTCACGTATTTCATTTGAAAATGGTTCATGGTAGATTTTATTTACTTTATTATAAAAAGCCTTTGGCCTTATAGAAAATCAATCCTCTGCCATCTAAATGTTGGCATATAACTCTGCATGGTCTTAATTTATTCCCCCCCCCCCACTTGTGTACCTAGTAATGGAGCTTTATATTTGAAAGAGCAGCCAAGAAAGCGCTTAGTTGTTTTGCTGGAGGGATTGTAGAGATTTGGAAGAATAATTGTTAAAGATTACTGTACCAAGTTCGTTAATATTTATATAAATATACGTTTAGTTTTTAGAATGAACGCTTCATTAATCATGAGTGTTGCCACAGATATGAATAATGTGATCAGCTGCCACAAAAGCAATAATTAATTAGTCTAACAAAGCTAGACTTGGGATCAAGTTTCCACCCTCTTAGATGTATTGATGCAATTTCATACTATCATCCCTTTGGAAAGACAGAACAAGCTGACTCAGACATCATATCTTGGGCTTAATCTGCCTTGACCCAAAGTCATTGCCCTAAAACCATGACTTCTGATCTGAGAGATTTGACTCCTAATCGCATTACATACATCTGGAGTTTACGTTGTCAGCAATATGCTGACGACAAACAGCTCTGCTTCTCCTCTTCATCTGCAGGTGTGGCAGTGGAAGTGCTGGATCGTTGTGTTGCCTCAATAATGGACTGGATGAGAGCCAATAAATTGAAGCTCAATCCAGATAAAACTGAGGCACTGTCAGGGGGCAGTTCCCTAGTCCAGATGGATGGGAGATTGCCACCTCCCTATTGTGGGATGTGAAACACAAGAGCAGTCAAGTACAACATTCCTAGAGTGAACATGTTTACACATGGGGAGGAATGTTTGTCCAGCCAGCAGGTAAACTTCCTGTTTCCTTCTGGGCTGGGCCAGACTTCCTCTGCATTTGACTAGAGGTGGGCGTGGCCTCACCTGTGCAGGTAACGACAAAAGCACAGGGCAGGGCAGCCATCTCTCTCTCTCTTTCACTACATGCATCGAAGAAGCAACATCTGCTTAGCCAAAGATGCTCTCTTGGTTCCAGCCAAGAGAGGACAAAGGGACTGTCTTCTTATGCAATAGTTTCCAAGTGTATGTTACTTTTCTAAGCTAAGTCTGCCTTCTGGGATCCTATTGTGAACAGAATGATATGTGAGTAAACTCTTTTTATACTTTTGTAGAAGACTGTGTTGTGTCTTATCTTTTATGAGGGAATAAGGGGAAAATATCAGAACAGTTATTATAGAGGCTTTAGCGAGCCTGAGCAAACGCATCCGCTGAGTTTAAACAAAAGGGGAATGTTACTCTGCTAAATTGTGGAACTTGTTAACACAAGTTGGAAAAGGATATAATCAGACAATATATCCTCTCCTGCATCCCTGAACATTCCCATACCTATCAAGTAGCTGGGGGGGGGCTACTCCTGGATCCTTTGATGTTACTTGAATCATAGAATCATAGAGTTGGAAGAGACCACAAGGGCCATCGAGTCCAACCCCCTGCCAAGCAGGAAACACCATCAGAGCACTCCTGACATATGGTTGTCAAGCCTCTGCTTAAAGACCTCCAAAGAAGGAGACTCCACCACACTCCTTGGCAGCAAATTCCACTGTCGAACAGCTCTTACTGTCAGGAAGTTCTTCCTAATGTTTAGGTGGAATCTTCTTTCTTGTAGTTTGGATCCATTGCTCCGTGTCCGCTTCTCTGGAGCAGCAGAAAACAACCTTTCTCCCTCCTCTATGTGACATCCTTTTCTATATTTGAACATGGCTATCATATCACCCCTTAACCTCCTCTTCTCCAGGCTAAACATGCCCAGCTCCCTTAGCCGTTCCTCATAAGGCATCGTTTCCAGGCCTTGGACCATTTTGGTTGCCCTCCTCTGGACACGTTCCAGTTTGTCAGTGTCCTTCTTGAACTGTGGTGCCCAGAACTGGACACAGCACTCCAGGTGAGGTCTGACCAGAGCAGAATATAGTGGCACTATTACTTCCCTTGATCTAGATGCTATACTCCTATTGATGCAGCCCAGAATTGCATTGGCTTTTTTAGCTGCCGCATCACACTGTTGGCTCATGTCAAGTTTGTGGTCAACCAAGACTCCTAGATCCTTTTCACATGTACTGCTCTCAAGCCAGGTGTCCCCCATCTTGTATTTGTGCCTCTCATTTTTTTGCCCAAGTGCAATACTTTACATTTCTCCCTGTTAAAATTCATCTTGTTTGTTTTGGCCCAGTTCTCTAATCTGTCAAGGTCATTTTGAAGTGTGATCCTGTCCTCTGGGGTGTTAGCCACCCTCCCAGTTTGGTGTCATCTGCAAATTTGATCAGGATGCCCTTGAGTCCATCATCCAAGTCGTTGATAAAGATGTTGAATAAGACCGGGCCCAAGACAGAACCCTGTGGCACCCCACTAGTCACTCTTCTCCAGGATGAAGAGGAACCATTGATGAGCACCCTTTGGGTTCGGTCAGTCAGCCAGTTACAAATCCACTGAGTGGTAGCATAGTCAAGACCGCATTTTACCAGCTTCTTTACAAGAATGTCATGGGGCACCTTGTCAAATGCCTTGCTGAAATCAAGGTAGGCTACATCCACTGCGTTCCCTTCATCTACCAGGCTTGTAATTCTGTCAAAAACAAGATCAGGTTAGTCTGACATGACTTATTTTTCAGAAATCCATGCTGACTATTGGTGATCACAGCATTCCTTTCTAGGTGCTCACAGACTGTTTGCTTAATGATCTGCTCCAGAATCTTCCCTGGTATTGATGTCAGACTGACTGGGCGGTAATTATTTGGGTCCTCTCTTTTCCCCTTTTTGAAAATAGGGACAACATTTGCCCTCCTCCAGTCTGCCGGGACTTCGCCTGTTCTCCAGGAATTCTCAAAGATGACTGCCAGTGGTTCTGAGATCACATCTGCCAGTTCTTTTAATACTCTTGGATGCAGTTCATCTGGCCCTGGAGACTTGAATACATCTAAACTAGCCAAGTATTCTTGTACTATCTCCTTAGTTATTCTGGGCTGTGTTTCCTCTGCTGAATCATTTGCTCCAAATTTTCAGGTCGGGCATTGTTTTCTTTATCGGAGAAGACTGAGGCAAAGAAGGCATTGAGGAGTTCAGCCCTTTCTGTGTCCCCTGTTTGCATTTCACCATCTTCTCCTCTGAGTGACCCCACTGTTTCTTTGTTCTTCCTTTTGCTACTGAACATACCCATAAAAGCCTTTTTTGTTGCTTTTAACCTCTCTAGCAAGCCTGAGTTCATTCTGTGCTTTAGCTTTTCTGACTTTGTGTCTACACGTGCTGGCTATTTGTTTGAATTCCTCTTTGGTGGTTTTCCCCCTTTTCCATTTTTGTACACATCCTTTTTTAATCTTAACTCAGTTAAAAGTTCTTTAGATAGCCACCCTGGCTTCTTTAGGCACCTTCCATGTTTCTGTCTCATTGGTATTGCCTGAAGTTGTGCTTTTACTATCTCCCTCTTAACAAACTCCTAGCCATCATGAACTCCCTTTCCTTTTAGTATTACTGTCCATGGGATCTCACCCAGCACTTCCCTAAGTTTTATGAAGTCGGCTTTCTTAAAGTCAAGAAATTGAGTCCTAGTATGCTTGGCTGCTCCTTTCCACTGTATAGTAAACTTCAGAAGAGCATGATCACTCGCGCCTAATGATCCTTCCACTTCTACCCCACTAACCAGGTCATCAACATTGGTTAGGACCAGATCTAAAATGGCTGTTCCTCTTGTTGCTTCTCCCACTTTCTGGACAATTAAGTTGTCTGCAAGGCCAGTGAGGAATCTGTTTGACCTTATGCTCTTGGCTGAGTTTGACATCCAACAAATATCCGGGTAATTGAAGTCCCCCATTACTACTATCTCCCTGCCTTTTGCATGCTTGGCCATCTGTTCCAGGAAGGCATCATCTATGTCCTCCGTTTGGCTTGGGGATCTATAGTAAACTCCCACAATGAGGTCACTGTTATTCTTCTCTCCCTTAATTTTGACCCAAATGCTCTCACTTTGGCTTTGAGGTTCTAAATCTTGGATCTCTTCACAGGTATACACATCCCTGACATATAACGCCACTCCTCCTCCTTTCTTGTCTGGTCTGTTTCTCTGAAATAGATTGTATCCCTCCATTATTACATTCCAATCGTGGGACTTATCCCACCAGGTTCCAGAAACTCAGGTGGTCTCAGTGGCATAGGGTGCCTTCCATCAGCTTCGGCTGGTGGCCCAGCTGCATCTCTGTCTGGACAGGGATAGCTTAACATCTGTTGTCTATGCTCTGGTAACCTCTAAGTTTGATTACTGCAATGCGTTATATGTGGGGCTGCCTCTGACGATGGTTCAGAAACTTCAGCTGGTGCAGAATTCAGCAACCAAATTGCTCAGCAGGCCAAGATAGTATGATCTTATTACACTGATCCTGGCCCAACTGCACAGGCTGCCAATTAGTTTCCGGGCCGAATTCAAAGAGCTGCTTTTGACCTAAGAAGCCTTAAACGGCTCAGAACCACAAAACCTCAAGGACCGCCTCTCCCCATATTAACAGACCTGGACTGGTGAGGAGCAGGGTCAAGGTAAGTTTTCATTCTGTCTTTTGGTCCCATGCTATGGTGTGAGCCAGCTGACTCGTGTCATAGCACGGAACCAAAAAATGCCTGTCTTTTGGTCCCGTGCTCCTGCACAGCCAGAGCACGAGATCTAAAACAGGACATCTGGGGTTGGGATCAAAAGCTGGGGTGGATTCTGTCAATCTGGAATGTCCCAATTAAATGGGGACACTTGGGTGCTATGCACTTCACCTTTCCTCACACAGAGCTCAAGGCATCTAACAAGAATGAGTAAAAACAAATATAATGATCAACTGAGTACAAATAGCAGTTGAGAAAGGAAAAATATACGAAGCTGTTAAAATCAATTTTCTCAACTGTTGTGTGAATGGGTTGCACATCAGAACGTAGCGTGCACTGAAGTTAGAAAGAAACACACACACACACACACCCCATCCCCAGTAAATCAGCCTAGTTTTCCATAGCACCACAGTTTTGCTGAGGTTGTTCTCAGCTACTCCACTGCTTCACACACAGGCTGTACAGGGCATTAGGCTAAAAAGGATTGCTTTGCTTCTGTTTTTCCTTGCTCTGCCAGTGTCTCCTACTCACATTCTTGCAGCAGATGTTTGTTCTCTCCAACACTGTGGCCTTTTCTGGGGAGACAAATCTTCTAATACTCCACCCAGTCTCATTTGAGGAGGGGCAGCAGAATGGAACATCTGGCCCCTCCCTGCCGTGATTAAGCAAAGCACTCCTGCCATAAAAAATGCCACCACAATCAGTGCCTTCGCTTGAGGCTTTGAGAAAGCAGGGCTGAGTCCATGCTCTGGCCTTAATGAAATGGCTCTGTTGCATTTGAGACTCTCCCCGTTAAGGCAGCACAATATGCAGAGCACTAATGCAGGACTTTAATTTTTAAAAGCTTTTTGTGGAGGGAGCCGGAGCTCTCTTAAAAAATTTATCGTGATTCAATAAGTTCATTAATCACTTCCTAAGCTCTAAGTGCTAGAAGAACTTTGGGGCTCTCAGTCTTCCTGTTTCTCTTGTTGCTCTCCGGGTAGCTGTGGGGATGCTATCATTTTTCAGGAATGAACATAAATGATAGTGCCAACCAGCACATATTCTCACCTGTGGTGCTCGGATTCCCTTAAATGTTCACACGCCTAATTCTGCCCCTGCTATGACATTTGTTTATGTGCTTACTCTCATTGTGTAAATACTGTAGAAACAATCCTGCAACCAATTACTTGATGAGTAGCCCCATTGGTAGTCTCTAGGTGCCTTTGGGAGGGTGGTGTCTACAAAGCAATTTCAATAAATGCAGGCGCAGCTGTTTTGAGTAAAGCTAACTGTTAAAATATTGACAAGAAACATATAGTCTGAGAAGAGAATTTATTGCTAATGTGCAAAGCTCGAATCTTCACTCCTTATTTGGTTATTAATGTAATTAGCTTCATCATGGGCTGCTTTAATAAGACATGGTCAAAAACAAACATCAATGTGACCAATGAGACACAGTCCCAAGCCATGTGCCCTGTTATTATTATTAAGGTCTCCTTAGGTGGGGTTAGAATGATACTGGTGCTGCTACAATTGGGTGATGAGTTACACCATATCTTACACTCTGCTGTAGTGATATGTGTGGGGCAGTTGTAAATACGGGGGCAGCTGTTTTTCTGATATTTTCTTCCCATCACTGAATTTAGCTGAGAGAAATATGACACTGGTATAAAGTTGCGCTGTTGATGGGTGTTTGGCCATGGATTGAAGGGCACAGAATAAGATCTGGCATAAGTTTGCTCCTCCCTGTGTCACCGACATTCCACCCCTGATTTAACCCTGTTTGGGCCATTTTGGTGGCAAGTTTTTGCTGTTGGAACAGTGTCCCAACAGCCTATCTGGGGTGCTCCACCAGTGTTACCTTTTGTACTGGCTGCATATCTTGGGTTCTTCCAGCACAGTGGAATCCTATAGCCCTTCAGTTGGCAGATCTCAAGTATAGGATCACCCCCTTAGTTACTCTGCTAAAACATTTTCCAAAGCAGAAGAATGAAAACAGGTGAACCAACTAAACTAGTGGCATGTGAAGGCCTAATCAAATAACTGGGGCCAGATCATCTTGTTGCAATGGCTTCTTTTTACTTCCCTTCTCCCATAATCCTATGCAAGTACTGCTAACCTGGGCAAATGATAAAACTATATAATCAGAGACAATATTGTGTGACTGGCTGTGCAAAGCATTGAGGAATGTTTATTTACCTGTTTGTTTGTTCGTTCAGTTTATATCCCAGCCATCATAGGTTCCATTGATCCCAGGGCAGGTTACTTCCGAATGCATGATAAAACAATCCAATAAAATGTTTATTAACGAAAACACCAGCCAACTAAAATGCAGTGGCAGGCGGGTAGCTGGGAGCAGTCCCAACTGCTTCACCTCACTCCGTCTGACACAGCTGGGTGCCAACAAGATGCAAGAGCAGCCTGGAGGTTCTGACTCAGCCCCTGCCTACATCTAAGGCAAGCAGCAGGAAGAAGAAGCAAGCACAGGGAGCAGAAGATGAAGGAGCTTTAAGAGCAATGTCACCACAACCGAGAGGCAGACTTAAGGACTGTGAGTGGAGCAGCAGCACAGTTGTGGACACTGGAGTGGGGAGAGGTTCTATAAAACTTTGGACAAGATTAAAACTGTTAATTAAGGCTCCCAGGAATCTTACAACGAGAAGGTTCTCAGGAACCCCCCCCCCACCTTATCAAAGGAATAAGAGTCGCAACAAATCACCTCTACAAACTTGAGTAGACTTGGGGCTCTGAAGGATGTGGAATGTAAAACTGCAGTCAAGTACAACATTCCTACAGTAGACATGTGACTTGAAGTGGGTGTGGTCCGTTGTCCTAGCATGGAGGAGCACACGGCCTCCATGTTCTGAACATTTTGGATGTTGCTGTGTGTTTGGAGAAGTGACTGCTTAGCCGCAGTCACTTGGGACTAACTTCTTTATGGAATAGTTCTGGTCGTTATGTAACCTAAGCCTGCCTTCAGGGATGTGTCTGTGAACCTGAATGAATCTGTGAGTGAACTATTTTTATATTCACGTTAATCAGATTCTTGTGTTTATTCTTTTTAAGAGGGAAAGGCAAGGGATTTTACCAGGAAGGAATCTTTAATAGTGAGACTCAGATGTGTCAGCAACAAGCTGATCGCTGCGTAATCTAAAAAGGGGGATGTTTGGAACTCTGCTAGAATATGGAACTTGCTAGCGCAAGTTTGGAAGAATATTATTAAATAATACATTCTCTCCTGCCTCCCTAATCATCCCCACAAAGGAATCCGGTTATGCCACAGCATCCTTCAATGGATAGACTAGGATGACAGCAAATAACAATACTGCAGTGAGACTGCAGTAGGCCATTGCTAGTGGCTAGTGGGGCATTTACTCAGCTCCTACCCAAAAGCCTGGGCAAAATATGCGTTTGGAGGAAGTTTGTAGCCAAAAAAAACAACAACAGTGCTTGCCTTACCTCAGTCTCAAAACCAAGGCGCCACCATGGAGACAGTTCTTTCTACCTCCAACATGCCCCTAGCAGTGGAACCACAGGAAGTGACTCCTCTGCAGATCTTAATGTCTGGTCCTTCCTTCAGAGACTTGGGTCCCAAGTCATTTAGGGCTTTATAACGTAAATCGGCACACCTTGAATTGGGCTTAGCAGGCTACAAGCAGCCAACACCATCACACAGAAATGACACAGTTGTTTCCATTGAGGGTTTGGACTCAATGACCTTCATACATGTTCAGTCTTAAAAATCTATTCTGTTCTCCCTGGCAGCTTATTTAGGTCTGCTGTAACACAGTCACCCACCCTATCACAGAGTTTCATAATGTGCTTGTGGCACTAGTATTTAAACAGAGGCTCCAGGAGAGCAAGTGCACTGTGGTAGTTGATGTGTTGGGTTGAATTTGGTCTGGGGAGTCATGGACCAGGTGAGAAATTCAATATTTATGAAGGCTGCTATGAACTCCCATCACTATTCTGATACAGTCATTGGCTTAAAAATTGCATTCTAAGACACAGTGGAGGTTGCTCTATCTGGGCAAATGGGGCACAGCTCCACCCACCTCAGTCTGGCTAGCTTAGCTAGACCCTACCTGCCGACCTTCCTACTTACAAGCTGTCCAGGGGCTGCTGGGAAGGAAGGGAACAAAACTCGAAGTAGTTGGCTCAGCTTTTCATTGGCTCTGGCTCCTCCTATTATTCATTTTCCTACCTTCTGCCGGTCCCAATGGGCATCAGTCTTCACTGCTAACATGTGTATTTTGTGAAAAGGCATGTTTAACTTGGCAGATTTTGAGAGAAAATGCATTCAGAATGGCAGGTTATGAGGGTGGGAAGGAGCCAAATGTAAATGCAAATGTAATTGTGCAGATTTAAAACAAATTGTAGATTAATGCAGAAACGAGGCAGGAGGGATTTGTGTATGAACACCTGCAAAAGCAACATGGACTGGAAGTGGACTGATTGGTTCATGCCTATCGGCGTTGTATCCACAGTCAGCTTTGAAACGGGATATTGTAGGATAAATCACTCTTCCTTTGTGGAATCTATCTTGCAGGGTTATTGCGACTGCAAATAAAACTATAAGTAATCTCATGTATAATGCCTGGAGTTCCTAGAGAAAAAGGCCAGTATATAAAGAGCATTGCGGAAAACAGCTTTTAATTTTTAATTTTTAAAGGAAGTATGATGGAAGCTGCCAGCTTGCTTGCTGCCATACTTAGGAAACTTTGTCCTTATCCTAGAATACTACAAATAAATGCTTGAGGGCTTTTATTACATATGTATCTTATTCTCTCTCCTTATGCTTCGCTTCACTACCCAAACTCTCAGATTCTTTCACATAACAGAACCCTGTGACCCAATGTTTTCAGAATTATTATTAGGAGTCCATTTCTTTGTTGTGAGGGCACCTCAATCAATACTGCAGCTGAGAAAAGCATGGTGAGCGCCCCTGGTTTGACAGCTTGTCAATAATTCTGGCCTCTGGTGCAAAAGGTCCCTAGAAGGTATTCCCATCACCTAGACTAGGAGAGGAGAAGCTGACTGACCTCACTAAGGCTGGAGGGAAGCAGGTAATAAAAGCTTGCACTTTTTTGGAAGGAAGCAAACCAAAGGCAGCTGGTTGGGAGAAAAGCATCCTGAAATTTTTAAAAAAGAACTCGGATGCCCATCAAAGTGTGTGGCAAACAAATAATTAATGAGAGCTTACTATTAGGCTGTGGGACACCAGGCACTTACCCCAGCCGTACACCTTGTCAGTTTCAGACAAAATATTCTCCAGAAGTTAGATGCTTCTTCACCTTCCCCACTTTTTGCTACACGCACAGAGTCTTCCACCTACTTTTCGGGAAGGCCTTTGGGGAATGTAAGAAAGCTGAAAAAGCCGAAGCACGTGTTGTTCTTACATAAGGAGCCCTCAGAGGGAATTGCTCTGCTTTCTGGAAGACACCTCCTGTCCTAGTGTTCTGAACTGTGAGTGCTTAGAAATGGTGCACTGAAGTGGAAGACCCAGGGAAGGGAGTGTGGATAAAGCCGCAAGGGATGCCTTCCTTTTTTCTTGCCATGGGTCTGTCTGCGTGACCAGCTTGCAAGGGTTAACTGTTTGGACTTATTCAGAAAGCTTCTGCGCATCATAGCAAGGAAGTTCCCATTTGGTCTTGAACATGCCTCTTAGCTAAGAATGCAGTTTCTAGGGCAGGTTGTGGGAACGCCTAGGGCAATCTGGCCACCTGAGAGCTAAGCAAGACATTCTTATGTGGTGCACTTTGTGCCTGCAGCTGGTGTGCTAGAATTTTTTTCTCCACATAAATCACTCCCTGAATATAGCCAATGAGCACATCCAGGAGAAGGCTAACCTAGAACCCTCCTTGCTGACACGTATAAGTAGGAAACTTCTTTCCATCGGGCCTCTAATGAGGAGAAAGCAACATAGGACTTGATCCAGACTTTGGTTCTCTTTCTGACATCAATATCTTGACATTCCAAAGCTAGAACTCTGATATGCGAGTTCTTTTTGTTTGAGGAAATGCCATTTAGACAAGGCCATCTATAAACCCCATTTGGTGTCCTCTGTCTGCAGTTCTATTACAGCTGACATTCTCCTTCACCTGCTATTGCTTCTATTTTAGTCACATGGCTGAGTCCAGCCAGTTGGGGACCGTATAGTGAGAAGCATGGCATAACCAGACTATTAAGCCAATCAGATTTGTCTTTCTGTTCTGATGCCACTATGGTCCATTCAGACAATGCTTCCCAAACTGGAAACACTTTTGAAGCAAATGCCAACAAAATCACTGGAAATGGTTTGGGGTTTTTTTATATATTGCTGGAAATGTGGATAAAAACAGCAGGTACTTGGGGTCCCAGTGTTAATGCCATTTTAGCATTTGTGTGTACAACTCCTGTACTGAGCAGGAGTGAGTTTTCACAGGTGTCGTCTTCTATTAGTTGAGGGAATGTTTATTTTAGATGAGATTGGGCAGGTTATCCTGCTTGCAGACTTCGCCTTTCTCTGTGCGGTTGCTGCCTGCCAGTCATGTGTGATTGAAGGAAAGCCTGCTACTGTAGAGAGCTGACAAGCAATTGTGAATTACAATATGAACATCAGCTGGGTAGTGTACAGATCTCCAGATCATCTCCAAAACACGTTTGCTCTCCTTGGGTAGCAGTTGTGGCACGACATAGCAGTGCAGATTCAGTAGCAATGTGCGATGACCAGCCGTGGCCAGCCTGGTGCCCTCGGGATGTTTTGGACTATGATTCCCACCAGCCATGTCTTCATGGGGCCCTATCCTTTGCTTTCTGTCTTAACACCTCAGTGAGGGAGTTCTAACACTTTGTATTTATCATCTTATTTTTAGAGTTGCCTTTAAGCCAAGCAGAAAATATGTAGAATCAACTTACAAGAATTCATTGAGAATAAGTTTTATTTATTTATTTATTCATTCATATTTCAGATGCAGGGAGTCCAGATCTTATATATAGCATGGCTGTCTCGGGACGGTTCTCTTGTATTGCCAATGACCCTCAATGGCCCTGAATCATTTCTTAATGGCCCTAGCTTGGCCAGGTCTTTTTGCACAGGCTAGCCCAGGAATTCCTCTGCACCTTGTATTTATCCCTTTGCACCCCAAATAATCAAAATCTTGCCACTTATTAATTACTAGGATTTAGCCCCCACCCCAAAAAACCTTATAACAATATACTAATTTAAAGCTCAGCTGAAATATCCATTTAACTGTCCCATTCATGGGTGGGAAAAAAGTGTGTGTGTTATGTGAGAATTTTTTTAGCGAGAGAGATATTACCACCTACCCAATCACTTCATGTATTTGACCCGGAGGGCTATATAATATCAAGCTAGAAATAAATATGTCTGTCTTTAGGATGCTGCAGCAGCAGGACTCATTTTGACGCAACATACTAGCATGGCAACCCTTCTGTAATTAATGGAGTATTTCAGAGGGCAGGCCATTTTGGCAGCTTGTGTGTGTGGGAGGAGAGGAGGCAAATGTTTTGCATAGAGTAATTCCTAAATATGATTAATTAGAGGGATTTTGCACAAAAGATGGCAAGGGATTCTAGAGACATGAGTTTTCTTCACACAGAAGTATGACTTTCAAAATGCAGGCTACCATGAACTCCCTCTTTACACTCTCCTTGCATTTGTGGCTGTTTTAAAATGCCCACATCAACAGCAAATCCTTTAGAGTTTGCAGAATCAGCACAAAATGTACCCTGAATTTCAATTAATTGTTCAGTAATCTGCTGCATCATTTGAGACCTTTTGAAATTACAAATGCACATCAAAATGGCCGTTTTCAAATTTGATAAAAGGCCTTTATTAATTGCTTTAGGAAACGCTTTGGAGCAAATGATGCAGGAAAGATGAATTTAACCCTCTGTGTTTGCTGGTTTACTATGCTAATATCCTCATCACATACTCAAAAAGGTTGGTTTTACAAAGTAAGGAACAAATGTGTCTACTGTTAAGAGATTCTTTGGGGAGTAGCTTGTAGAGTTCAATCAATACTTCTCCTGGCTAATGATCAGGAAAGATAACTTAGGTGGACCCCTTCTGAATATAAGGCTGCTTCTGACCTGCTTCACAAATCATTAGCTAATATACACAGGCCTATTTTTAGTCAGGGTGAGAAAGTCTCACCTCTTTTCCGGTATGTTACCTCTGTGCAGAGATCAGAAGCAGACAACATGGTGGGTTCCTTGCTCCCACCCTTCTGACTGTGGTGTCAATGCAACTCACCAGGAGAGTCCAAGAGCAGTGAGGAGGCTGAGTCTGGACAGGTGGATGGGGCCTGGGGTTGGGAAGCTTTTGGCTTGATTTTCTGCTTGATTTTATAATGTATTTTGTGGTTTTTTACTTTTATGTTGTGACCTGCCCTGAGAGCTACAGATGAAGAGTGATATACAAATTTTATTTCTTCTTCTTCTTCTTCCTAGAAACAATCCAACATGGCCACCAGCCATGTTTCCTCAACCCCTTTCTTGCCTCACCATCCTGGGAAGTGGCAGCCAAGCTGCTGTCAGGAGGACTGTGGTTTACCACTGCCCCAGTCCTCCTGGTTTTGCTCTGAACTGCTCTGGTGTGTTTATTTAAAACTCTTCCAAGTCCTGAGTAAAACTAGTGCAAGCTTATTTCACTCTGGGGTCCACCTTTGGTGGTTACCCACTTTCCCATTCTCATTGTTTGTCCTCCATAAGCAGGTGTTAACAGGTGTGGGGAAGGGCCAAGGGGCAGACAATCCAAATGGGGCCCTTCCAATTCATAAATGGATTTTCCAGTGGGCTGGTTGAGTCTTTATATTTGGCTGATTTTTTTAAAAAAATGTTTAATCTGGTGCATTTCTTACCAGCCACGTGGTATATCTCTAATATGAAATTTATTTCTGGAGCTTTAAGAGGCTATTGATTAGGGCATGGGTAGGCAAACTAAGGTCTGGGGGCCGGATCCGGCCCAATCGCTTTCTCAATCTGGCCCGCGGACGGTCTGGGAATCAGCATGTTTTTCCATGAGTAGAATGTGTGCTTTTATTTAAAATGCATCTCTGGGTTATTTGTGGGGCATAGGAATTCAGTCATTTCCCCCCCTTCAAAATATAGTCCGGCCCCCCACAAGGTCTCAAGCACAGTGGACCGGCCCCCTGCTGAAAAAGTTTGCTGACCCCTGGATTACGGTAAAAGTCCCCAAGTTTATATAATACCACTGTTTCCCACATAGCAAATGAACCTCATTTGGCTGCTGTGTGAAAGGAAGAGTGTTGAGATATCAGGATTAAAGCGGAATCAAGAGGTAAACGTTTCAGTCTCCATTCCTCCCAGAGGAAAGAGGTTAACAGTGATTTTGGAAAGAGGTTAACAATGTCTTCTGTTGTCTCTACCACCCCCCAATTTTAACCATAGGATCTGATCTGAGCCTTGTAAAATCAAAAGGATATGCAAGCAAGTCATAATGAGAGGATACACAGCACACTCTGTGCTAAACCAAAGCATGGTGAGTTCCCAAAGAGACATTGTTTGCTTTAGCAACTTCATCATTAAAAAATGACTTATTTCAAAAGTTCAGAACACTGGGAAAAATCATAATAGAAAATTCAATAAACATCTACCAGGATCTCTGTGCAATTTTTCATGAGGCATGAGATGGCAAGGGGGCAATGAGGAATCTGCCAAAATCTTCACAGCCTTCCTTCAGCACTAGCAAAACTCTGCCAATTACAACTTTGGATCCAATTCATAGTTTTCTTTTGTATTCATTTCCTTTGGTATCCTATTGACAAAGTCAATAAAAATCAGTATGTTAAAAGGGCAGAAATAGCTTAGATTTAATCTGCCACTTCAATAATGCGACTAACTCAATACCAGAAGCCTGACAGGTGTTCCTCTTTGAAATAAACATGACTTCTCATATGGGGGACAAATTATATTTTACATTTTGGAATAAATAGCTACAAATCAAAACTGACTTCCCCCCTCCCTTAATACCCACCAAATTTGACTTTTAAAAACAAACAAAACAAAAATGCCCAGGCACTCAAATTGAATAATGAAAATGAATTACAAAGCTTAACCTGGCCAAACTAACAAAAAATAATTCTGCCTGCAAAACGTAATACAGCAAAGGTAATGATTGCTGCACACACTGATTTTGGAGAAGAAAAATAATAATTAATAAATACAGAACAAAGTTTTGGGGAAAACACAAGGGGGAAATCAAAATAGGCAAAGAGGAATGAATAATAGAATTGTACATTTGGAAGGGATCCCTAGGGTCATCTAGACCAACCCCCCTGCAATGCAGGAATCTCAGCTAAAGCATCCATGACAGATGGCCATCCAACCTCTGCTTAGAAACCTCCAAGGAAGGAGAGTCCACAACCTCCCAAGGGAGACTGTTCCACAGTCGAACAGCTCTTACTGTCACAAAGTCCTTCCCGATGTTGAGTCGGAATCTCATTTCTTGTGACTTGAAGCCATTGGTTCAGAGCAGGAGAAAACAAGCTTGTTCCATCTTCCATGGGACAGCCCTTGAAATCTGAAGATGGATATTATCTCTCCCCTCGGTCTCATCTTTTCTATGAATTATGGCACCATATATCGATTCGCAAAGCACCATCCATTTTGACACTTAACTGATTTTTCCTTCCATTAGCAAGACAACTTCCATGTCCCAGGCACCCCAGAGGAAGGATGGGGAACCTGTGGCCCTCCAGATGTTGGTGGAGTGCAAATCCCATCAGCCCCAGTCAGCATGGCCAGGGGCGAGAGATGATGGTATCTGTAGTTCATCAACATCTGAAGAGGCACAGGTTCCCCACTCCTCCACCCAAGGGAGTGTCATGAAGCCACTTCGGTTGGGTGGGGAAGGATAACCATTTCTGAGAACTTGTGTTACAGATTTCCCAACCGGTTCCATAACACCAGTTCCCCAGTGATGGAAGAACTTCCTGGGATGGTATCATCTAATTTAGTCAAAGCCCCATTTTCATCCCTATAATGGCGTCCTTTTCTTATATGGGTTTATTTCCTCTGAATGGAGGAACTTCAATAAATTAAAGAAATTAAAAATGAGGTTGCGCTCAAATCCTGTCATTCATGAAACTAATTTGCTTCCTCAACATATAATATAAACTGGGACCATTAATAACGGCTAAAAACTTTTATTAACTCTTCCATTTGATGAATTCTGTAATTTGAAATACTGAGCCAGTTTTCTAAAACTTAAATAAATGGAAACAATTAAAACTTTTACCCCCACACAATTGATCAAAATCAGACAGAAACAATATAGTTATTAAACATAATGTCCTCTTAACTTCATTTTCTTTCTATACATTTATTCCTGGCAGTCAATAAGATGTAGCTAGTTAATAATGTTATCCTCTTGACAATAAATATGCTTAATTAGCTAAGCTTTTAACAGAAAATATTTGTACAGAAATAGAACCCAATGCTACTAGCATTTATTTGGATTTCCTCACCAAGTGCTCATCCACACTTATCTTTTGCCCTGTGCTTTCTAGGCACAAGTCTGTGCTTTAAAGCGCCACGTCTGCTGGTTGGTGTTGTTTTCCCTGGTGCTTTCCCTCCGAAAACCCACTCTGTCACTGAACCAGAACAATTCGTGTTTGCTCCGATTCAGCGGCAAAGAGTGGCTTTTTGCAGGGAATGTGCAGACTGCAGACACAGCACTTTGAAGCACAGACCTGTGCCTAGAAACACGACACAGATTTGGGAAAATAACAAATTCATCGGGGGGAAATGGATTGTGGCACAAGAGGAAGTCTGAATGAGTCCTTAGATAACAGTTCATTTTTTAAAAAAATGATATTTATTAAAGTTTAACAATTACCAAAAGAAAAGAAAAGCAGGCAGTGATAAAAAAGAAAAAAGATTACAATACTTCAAAAATAAAAGAAAAATACAATACTAAGAAAAAAAAGAGAAAAAAAGCAAACCCAAAAACAGTACAACAAAGCAATAAGAGTGAACAAACAAAAACATTTAAAAACACTAACATCCAGTATTTTCATATCTTTATCTTTCATTTACTTGTTTCCTTGACTTCCTTACACCTCCCTTTTCGTATTCTAATTCAATTAGTTGTTTCAGCAAGTCCTCTCCCTCTTTCTCAAACTTTGTTCCATAGTTTATCTTAACACAATTTAACCTTAAATTTTACACTTTGACCCATTAACAATCTATTTTTACTTAATTCTTTATAACCTTTCTGCTAAAACCATGTAAATTCATTCCAGCATCTTTGTAACATTCATTAATTTTACAATGTTTTTGTAAATATACTTTAAATTTGGAAGCAAAGGCTCAGAAAAAACTCAATATGGAGGCTGAACGGCCGAAGTATTGGGAAATTTTGGAACAAGAGGGAGACAGACTAAAATTGCAGTTTTGAAAAATTAAAAAGTAGAGTGCGAGACTGGCTCCATTATTATCAAATAATGGAGGCATATAATTTGGATAAAAAAATAGGCTTCCAAGTGGAAAAATCAAAATTGGAAACAGAATTGCTAGACTCTAAAGTTAAGAATCTGTCAAGAATGTATAACTTGCTGTTGATATGGAATACTCAAGATGAAATGGTGAAATCTGCTATGATTAAATGGGCACAAGATGTTGGACATAATATTATGATGGCTGACTGGGAACAGTTATGGACCACTGCTATGAAATTTATGGCATGTAATGCCTTAAAAGAGAACTTAATGAAAATGATCTATAGGTGGTACATAACACCAGTCAAGCTTGCAAAAATTTACCATTTGCCTGATAATAAATGTTGGAAATGTAAGGAGACTGAAGGTACTTTCTTTCACCTTTGGTGGACATGCCCAAAGATTAAGGCATTCTGGGAGATGATCTATAACGAAATGAAAAAGGTATTCAAATATACCTTTCTGAAGAAACCAGAGGCCTTGCTTTTTGGCATGGTTGGCCAATTGGTGCCAAGGAAAGATAGAACTTTTTTTATGTATGCCACAAAAGCAGCAAGAATACTTATTGCAAAATACTGCAAAATACTGGAAGACGCAAGATCTACCCACCAGGGAAGAATGGCAGATGAAACTGATGGACTACATGGAAATGGTGGAAATGACTGGCAGAATCCGAGACCAGGGAGAAGAGTCGGTGGAAGAAGATTGGAAAAAAATTAAAGTATACTTAGATAACAGTTCAAAGGATGCTGATCCATTACGACTCTCACAATATTCATTTTTACGAAGAACCTGGAGAATTTATTGCTGGTTACCTTCACTCCTATTTTACGGAAAAGAAAACAGATACTTGAGGGGGAGAGAAAGAGAAACTCCTAAAGGCCATGACAAAGGTTAATTTTGCTCCTATTTCACAGTTGAATTAACAGATGGAGGAGAGGAGAAAGTGATGCTTAAGTTCATGGTGAAGACTGAGATCTGAAGCTAAATGTATCATAGAAGCTAAATATATCATGGAATAATATAATCATATGCAAGTGCTGCACTCTGTGGACTCAATCACGCTGCCTCTCAGGGCCAAACAAAACATGGTGCTAAATGCAGAATCTTTGTGTTTAATTTACAGGATTTTTAAAAAATGAAAATCACGTCAACAGAGGAGGGTATTAATTTACAGAACCAGAGCAGGCATGGAAAGGGAATTTAGTATTTTCCTCCTTTGTCGTGTGGTCCTGAGGAACATTCTCATCTGAAGCTACTATTTGCATTGGGGCGAAATTCCCCATAGGTGCCAATCAACCATGGTTTCATTCAGACCAAGGGGTTAGTAATCAACTTCTGGGCCTTCCGGAGGCGGCGCGAAACGGCAATGGCGGTCCTCTTCGGTCTCTGAAGAGGGGCTCCGCAGGAAAGGGTCGTCCGCTGCGGCACAGCGGTGACCCATTAAGAAAAACCACGGGCAGAGTGAGCCCGTGGCCGTGGGACTCGGCGGGCACCAGGAGCGACCCCAGAAACGAAGAAGGAACCCCGCTAGGGGCTCCGGAATCGTGGAAGGGGAGCGGTGCTGTGAGTTCATCGCTCTTTCTGC